TATAATGATGATAAATGCAGTATTAAGATTTTAGTACGTTACATATGGTATTAGAGCCAGCAATGGCTGAACCCACTGATACTAGTAACATACAGTGAGCAATTCTACTGCTGTCTGAATATTCTAAGCACTCAAACTAAAGATTTTACAGCTTTATAACAAACCATGATATCATAGAAATATATTTTTGTTTACAGTTGTTTTGATGGGTAAGAATACTATGATGCGTAAAGCCATACGTGGTCACTTGGAAAACAATCCTGATCTTGAAAAGTAAGTTCATCCTAATTCTGATTTTTCAGTACGATTGTTATTCCAACTTTGCAAATATTAAGGAGAAAAAAAATGAGGAACTCTTGCTGACCAAGTGCGCTTATGTTCCTGGACGTGTACGGTATAAAATCACTGCTTTGTTATTAGCTTTATTTATTTATTTATTTATTGAATGAATGAATGATTTTTTCTGATTTTTTTGTTAGGCTTATTCCTCATATAAAAGGCAATGTTGGTTTCGTCTTCACCACCCAGGACCTGATACAAATTAGAGACAAGATTCTGGATAACAAGGTACTTGTACACTTACTGTTAATATATTTGCAATTCATCTTCACTTGGCAGTTTGCCACAGTACACCCACCTACAGTTAGCCGTCAGCCACAGTACCCATCTGTATTAGTGATGTGGTAATGCCATATGATGGCTTAGATCAAGTTCAGTCTAGGAAGCAATTTTGTCTGTATTACAACAGGTGGCAAAATTGTGTCGAAAAACTGAAACATTCACATTTGTCAAATTATTTTGCTGCAGAAATGTTTTTGTATCACGACTGTACATTTCATTTCATTTTAGTTTTATGAAATCTGTTCATGTACTGTAGCTAGTGTATTTTTGCATGTGACTATGTACATTGTAACAGTTGGTTGGCAAATTTAGTCTGTAGTCCTCATATAATCCACATCTATTGGTGTATGATGTATTTTCTGAAAGCTTATTTATGGTGTATATATGCATGTCAGAGCTATTGACATGACTTGTTAATAAAATGTTTGAATGTCTTGCTCAGATTGTGCGCTATATTTTACTTCATGTATGACACAGACACATTGTAGCATGCCACTGAAATACGATCACCGTAATGCATTAATGATATCAATTACATACTCTGTAATATTCAACTTTGACTTCCTGACCAAATAGATAATCAATTTAAAACTAATTCTAATTCTTAGGTTGCAGCTCCAGCTAGAGCTGGTGCATTGGCTCCTTGTGATGTCAGACTGGGTGCTCAAAACACCGGTCTTGGTCCAGAGAAAACCTCTTTCTTCCAGGCTTTATCTATCCCAACGAAGATTTCAAGAGGTACCATTGAAATCTTGGTAAGGTTACATTTATGTTGACCATCCATCTTCACGAAGCTCTGTCACAATACACCTATATCTACATTTGGCAGTCAGCCACAGTACTCGCCTACACTTGGCCATTGGCCACAATACACCCATGTACACTTAGCCGTCAGCCACAGTACCCATCTGTATTACAGTGATGTGGTAATGCCATATGATGGCTTAGATCAAGTTCAGTCTAGGAAGCAATTTTGTCTGTATCATAACAGGTGGCAACATTGTGTCGAAAAACTGAAACATGCATTTACATTAATATTTGTTCACCCAATAATAACAAGAAGAATCACTGAAAATTAATAACAAAAGTAAGCCATACACATGATTCTCAGCCCAAAGAAGATGTATTCACAGATTATATAAAATACTGGAAAGATTAATCAATGTGGAGTGTGCACATTTAAAGGGTTCACATGTACTGGTATAAAAAGTAAAATGACATGAATTGTTGTGGAGTGCACTAACCATGCAATTTGTTCTTTCCTAGAACGATGTTCATTTGATCAAAGAAGGTGACAAAGTGGGTGCATCAGAAGCAACTCTTCTGAACATGTTGAAAATCTCTCCCTTTACATATGGTTTAAAGGTATTCCAAGGTAAGATTCACAGACAGTGATATTGTAATCACACAGGTTAGTAAATGAGTCATCAGTGTACTGGCCTCGCATGTACTAGTGATGCAGATCACTTCTATGACATAGGTGCACAAAATACGATTACCAATTGTACCAGCTTTAGGGTAATTCTCAAATCACAATTTAAAAACTCGCATTAAAAAAATATGGATCACAATTAGTAATAATTTAAAAATAAGGTTTGGAGTCGTATGTTTGCGAATGCCTTGCCATTGAAATGTCACGGGTGTAATAATTCAGTCTATATATTGAAAATCTTCCTTGGTTTCAAGCAGGGATAAAAAGTCAAATAAAATTCAAAATGAGTTGCTCTCTGAAATCTTTTTACTTCAGATTCAAGGTCTGGTTTAATACAAAAGTGTAGGTTTAAAACAAAAGCCAAGCTACTCACCTACAGTCATAACCAACAAGTACACCCACAAAGTTGTCGGCCACAATAGACCCATGTACCACTTAGCTGTCAGCCACAGTACACCCACCTACACTTGGCTGTCAGCCACAGTACACCCACCTACACTTGGCTGTCAGCCACAGTACACCCACCTTCACTTGGCTGTCAGCCACAGTACACCCACATACACTTAGCCGTCAGCCACAGTACACCCACCTACACTTAGCCGTCAGCCACAATACACCCACCTACACTTAGCCGTCAGCCACAGTACCCATCTGTTTTAAAGTGATGTGGTAATGCCATATGATGGCTTAGATCAAGTTCAGTCTAGGAAGCAATTTTGTCTGTATTACAATAGGTGGCAACATTGTGTCGAAAAACTGAAACATTCACATTTGTTAAATTATTTTGCTGCACAGAAATGTTGCATATTTGTGTTGTATCCAAATTGTATATTTCAATTTAGAACAATATAATTATGAGTTGTATAACATGTCTATGTACCTTAGCTCAGTGTTCTCCACAATCCAAAATAGCTGGTGGATGGCCTAATTAGCATAAATTTTGCATATCATTTACATACAGCATTCTAGCATTTATGTCATGAACTGCAATACACACTAAGTTATTTACTATTCTCTTTTTAATTTAATTGAAACGTGTTACAATTTTTTGAAATACAAACAGATTGGTCACTATTAATATTTACGAACTGCAAAAAGTTTGAAATCGGTGATTTATACGTTTGCAAATTATTCTGCGTTCATGAAATGCAATTCGAGTAACCAAGAGCAAGTACAAAACATGAAAATATGCGAGGTGATTTGTCCCAGATGCCAAAACTGACGATTTGTCAAAATAAAACTCATAATTTTTTTTAATTGTGGCATCAGTACTTGCCTGTGCCGACGGACGGTAAGATTCATTTACGCATGTACAGTAACGATACGTTGCGTTTTCACACGTTGTTTTGGAATTCAAGAAAAAATGCTAGCAATCGGCAAAATAAAAGAATCTGCTATGTTTTCGAAAGATTAGACATAAAAAATGGATAAATTGAAAAAAGTACGTGGATAAGATAACTGAAATATTATTCAATTACAAATACTCGCGGTAAACTAATCCGGCAGCCATGTTTGATGTTTATTACCGCTTTCCGAATTCAGTACACGAACACCCAGAATGCGCTGTTCCCTTATGCAACTTAGATACTAAATCGTTACAGCGCCAAAAGGTCACCAGTTTGCCTTCTCCATGCTGTTTTCACGATAAAAATCGAGCGAACGTTGTAAAAACGGCTAGAATTTTAATTTTTGTTCGAGTTTCCATGTAATCTGCTAATATATTTGTTTATTTTCTGTGCATATACATTTCGTTCGTATTTACTTGTTTCTTTTGTGATCGGAAGACTATTATTAAAAATACAGCTGTAAATTGAAACCACTGTAGTTGCGTATCGTGAGCAATAAGTGGCAACATTGTCAAGTGACAATGAATTCAGGCGATTGACACATTGCCATGAATACAGTTGATGACTGCTTGCAGACTTCCAGTGGTCATTGTTTATGTTTGGACTCTTGAAACAATAGCAAAATAAAGGGTTGGGCAACTACTCTTTTGTTTAGGCTTGGGAAGAACAATGCAAGCTTTTTACAAATAATTTCAGCTGGATGTACGTTGGTGGGCTGGTGTTGAGAGTTACTAGGCGGCCGTAAAACTTGATGGGCGTGCCGCCCACTGAAAACCCCTTGTGGAGAACACTGTAGCTTGCATTTGATTAAATCTAAACTGAGTTATTGACTGTTAAGATTTCAATATCCGAGTACAGTACTGTCTCTTAACAATGTTTCATTCTTTTACATTCATAGTGTATGACAGTGGGAGTGTGTTTGCACCAAGTGTCTTGGATATCACTGATGATGATATAGCAAACACTTTTATTGAAGTAAGTTGTCTAGTTTTGTTGCACATTTTAACATGGTACCAGATGTTACAAAGTAGATGCTTTACCCCCAACATTGCCATGTGCTGTACACACTACTGCCAATATGCAATATTCAAACAAATGAATGTGTTCAGGAAATATTCCATAAGCTACAAAAGGGAGAATTTCAAGAACATTGTACAAATATCTCGGTGAAATCTACAAAATACTATCATGACATTAGTATTCATGAAATATGCCTATATAGTGAATTATGTAATATTTTGTCGGAGGCATGTGTAAAAGCACAAACCATGTAGCAATCATTGAATGCAATAGAACCTAGAACTAGCATACTGCAAGCATTGGCAAAATTCACCATTGTAGATAACAATCCTTTGTTTGGTCTTGTTTGCAAAGTAAATTTTTTTTTCAAGCCCAAATTTTGCAAGGGTTGCAATGTTATGCACTGTTCATATTGCAAATGTCCATAACAGGGTTTATAGTCTATTTAACCACAGCTTACATAATTAAACACTCTAGTCATATGACATTCAGGCAATTAAAATGCTGGTATGTCAGTTTGTAAAAGTACAGGGGGTTTAATGCACATCAAATCAAGTCTGGAGAATAACTTTCAACTCTTTGTTATTCAGCGTCAAATTTCAAAATTACATTTGGTGGCAGTATTATATTCAATTAGGGATTTTCAAGAAATGGTTTGATGTAGTGATGATAGTTATTTATTTTTTCCTAATAATGTGAAAATTCAACTGCTGTCTGAACATCTTTGCCTGTATCCATATTCACTTGTCTCCATTAAAGCCATAACAAGTTATTCATGAATACAATATAAATTTGTCTGTTTTTCAGGGCATTGCACAAATTGCTAGTGTGTGTCTGGAGATTGGTTATCCAACAGTTGCAAGTGTACCACATTCAATAGTCAATGGTTTCAAGAACCTATTGGCTCTTGCTGCTGAAACAGATATCGAGTTCAAAGAAGCTGAACAGGTAATGTCAAACACACTGTAAGGCCAATGTGTGTGCAGGCCAACACTGCCAATATTCAAAACTTCTAAATCTTGTTTCAGTCGAGGATAATTCACTAGTGTAGTTTATTCAAATATTCAACACGCACACACTAAATATGTGAACAAATGTACTCCACTCGTGCATTATGATTTACAGTGAGTTGGCTGCATCTTATCTTATGACAATTCAAGTTTAACTGACATTTTATTAGTCCCCGTTCGGACGCAGTCCGAAAACGGGGACTTATGTTTTGCCCTGTGTGCGTGCGTCCGTGATCACCTGTATTTCGAACATGCATGGACCGATTGAGTTCAAACTTCACTCGTACATCACACATTATATGGGACATATGTACATGCATTTTTTTCATGATCCGATTAACGATAGCCGAATAGCGGCCATTTTAAGGCCGAAAATGCATCAAAATCGCGCATTTTCACCATTCCGGACCCGGATCTCAGTTATGCATGGACGGATTTTGTTCAAATTTGGTACATACATTAAACATAATAGGACCTTGATGCACGTCATTTTTTTTTTTTTGGATCGGGTTCGAAATGGCCGACTGGCGGCCATTTTGTTTTAAAGAATTCAGTTCTGGATCCGTATCTGAGACATGCTTGGATTGATCGAGTTCAAACTTCACACACACAAGGTACATCATGTCACAAATATGTATGTGCATTTGTTTCATGATCTCATTAACGATAGCCAAATGGCGGCCGCTTTAAGGCCGAAAATGCATTGAAATCGCACATTTTCACCATTCCGGACCCGGATCTCAGTTATGCATGGACGGATTTCATTCAAATTTGGTACATACATTAAACATAATACGACCTTGATGCACGTCATTTTTTTTT